ACTAGCGATGCCCTTTGCTCCTAGTAGCGTCCTTGCCCCTAGTAGTAGGCAGCGTGAAACGCCACGTGCAAAAGGCTCCTCCTTGAGCAGGAAGGTGCCAAAGCAGGCGCCGAAGAGATCGTTCAACGCGCCGAAGGGCTCATCCGCCACGAAGCGCCCTGGGCTTCCGAGGTGCAGTTGGCGCTGACTGCACCGATCAACCAGAGTGGAGCGGAAGTAAGAAAATATAACGAACTACGAGTATATAGCGGTCCTGGCCTATAGCGCACAAGTAAGTCAGCAAGACCTTGGAGCGGCCAGTGCTTCAGTGCTGTCGAAAACATGATCGTTTCCTGCCACAAGAGTCCCCCACACACCACTTCACATAGACCAACTTGGAGAGCATCTCTTCTGTCGGCGGCCTGGGTGAATGGCTCACGGCGGTGTAGTCACGGTGGATTTGCGGCGTTTCAACGACACATTTACTGAGACATGAACGCTGAATAGATTGAATGAGGGCCCAGGGGCAAAGTCATGGCTCACCTCTGCACAATTGTAAGCACCAAGGGCAAAACATTTGGCCAAACACCAAGCCCAGCCTTGGGCTGCCACGTTTAAACTCAGGGATCCATGGTCAAACCATTGAAAATCTATGTACAGCAGGATCCTCTGCGCGCCTTGCGCAAAGCGCTTTAAAATACTCTGCTGTATTCAGATTAGGGGGAGGTCCTAGAGGGTGCAATTCTTTAAAAGAGCACGAGTCACTCGTCTAGACCCTGAGTTTATCCCACACTACTTGAGTTCCAAGCATGACCAATGAATGCACTGTCAGCACTCGAACAAAACATCGTTTGTTACTGGGCTGTTTTGCAATCTGCAATGTCATGCATTGACGCCCACACCTGGAAAGTCCCTCAGAGCCAGCAAAACGAACGAAAAAAGGATTCACTTGAAGCATAGCCAGCATGGCCAAGCATAGCAAACCTGTGAAGTAGCAAACTGTAGTGTAGCTCAGATGAAGGAGCTTCTCCAGACTGGTAGTTGAAGTACCAAGGTTCTTGGGTTCACCTGAAGAGAAGCCACCGGAGTCTCGACTCATGCTTCGTGTACCATGAGAAGCAGCTTCCAAATGTATCTCGATCCCTCCCCCTGAGGCACCATTTTGGATCTGCTTTACTTGTAACCATGACAATGCAGAACAAACCAATGCCCGCATTCCGCCGCAGAGCTGCTTTCCAGCTCGGCAGCTCTACTCAACTCGGCTCATCACCCTTCCTTCAAGGACCTGGGTTCAAAGCTGTGTGGAAGCGACCCAACTGCGAGGGAAATGCCGAGATCCTTGCGACATGATCAAACGCATTCCATTGCCCAATTCAGTGAAGCTCGTTTCGTCCGCAGAACCTCACATGTCACCAGCACACTCAGAACAAGACAACGCCAGTGCAGCCGTGACACTCAAATTATGCCACCCACGATGTGTCCAGAACCCCCGGCTGTGGCCCTGGCGAACCATGGTCTCGGCTGGGAAGAAACCAGAGCGAGACCTCAAAAGAAACCCGTTTCCTTTTTTGTAATGGCCTCCAACCTACTAGCAATGGCCTCGCCTCCAACCTAATAGCACAGTTTGCTCATTTTGCACAACTTGGGCCATGGCCAGCTGGACATCACTGAGGAGGAATATGGACCCTGAACCATGCCCGAGGCATCCTTGTAGAACCACTGACCTCAGAAATCTCAGCTTCATACGTGATGCAGTCTCAACCATTGATGTTCCCCCCGGAAAAAAATACGGGGACAACTCAAGTCATTGCTCACCGAGAATGCGACGCTCCTCCATGGGTGTGGCCTGCACCCAAGTTCTCCCGTCCTGTGAGTCCTTATTACATGTCATGTATAGCTAGTATAGCGTCTTTGTCCTTTTCATGTCCACTGAATTTCAGATCCGAAACTTGGGATAAGAACAAACATGAAGGCAATGGGGGGCCATTTGTGATCGCAAAGGTCCCGGGCTGTACAAAAGCACTTCAAACATCTGCGGCAAAAGGCTTTTGAAAGGCACGTCATCCCTGGTCGCCGACTGGACCTCCTCAACAACGGCCACCGCAGCCGAAACGGTTGCATTGCTGGCCGTCGCGGAGTCGGAATCAGGCCGCTTTAGGCCTTCGCGGAGTCGGAGACGCACCAAAATTGACCGGGGAAGCGGTTGATGCCCGTAGCTCGAGGATAAGTTTGAAGCTTTACTCAAGTCTTCCTGTGAAGTAAGTAGCTGTTGATTATGAAAACACAGCGGCCACATGTTGCCAAAATTAAGAACCAGAGAAAACACACACACAAAAGTGTCAAACAACCAAGGACACACGGAAACGACAGCCAAGATCACAACTAGGCACAGTCAGCGTTTGTGGTTCGTCGAGAGCGGATTTGATTGATGCACACCCGGGCCTGTTTCTGAGCTCTCCTGCAGTCTCAACAGGCTCCGATTGTCAATCAGGTCCATGAGTCCAACAAGTATTGAAGCACCTTGACCCGTATTCCGCCCTGTTTCACATTTCGCCAAACCAATTCGCCTCTGGGTTATCGGCATTCTTCGACCTTTCCAATGCAGCAGAATCCAGATGGGAAGCGAAGTAGAAAGATTTTTATCAACGCATCTCGCAGTTGCGCAGTAGCCCAGCAGCCACAAACACTGGCACTTTTAAATCCCCACTCCATGCATCTCCATGCTAACAATAAGGGCTGCAAATTTGAGGACAGCTGGGACAAACGGAACCTTCGCCATCCAAACGGTTCGTGAAGTTAAAAGGTCCTGGACATGTCTGGCCGTCTTGGCCAGATCTGCCCAGCTCAAAAATGCGACCGCTGACATCTGCTGAACCCGCGGCCCAAAGATACTCCCCAAGCTTGTGTCCCACAGTGTGTCCTAACATGGCCCGCTCCCAGGGCTGTTTAACAAATAGGACAACTCACACCAACATACCACGCATATTTGTAATGTTAAGCTTCTCGGGTGTAAGAGGTCCTCCCTATGCGGTGAGGCTTAGGTGACCACTGGCCAGGGCAGGAGCAGCTGGGTAGCAGTGACTTCACCCTTCATCGAAGATTCCAAAAAAGCAGCCTTAAATGGAGCCTTGCAAGGCACGAGTCATGGATGACATGACAATAATGTGTTTCAGCGTGCAGCCGACAGCATGCGAAACCGCTGTCCACATGTCCGCATGCGAAGCCGCATCTGAAAGAACTTAATTTGTGTACCAATGGGGGCACATCCTCTACTGGCATCCCCCCACATTGGGTCTGCGAAATGCTTTGGGGCCTTTACCCCATTGCTCAAGCTCTTCGGGATGACGCTGTTTGAAAAAACATGTTGTGAATGTGAAGCTGGAAGTTGGAATGAATGTCAAAGTCCTTGGGTTGAGGCTCCTTTTGAATTGCACCAACCTGAACAATATGGTCTCAATATGTCTCAATGGGGCCCTTAATCAGCCTCTATTCATGATTGACTTCACTTTGGCTCCACTTTAAGCTGCGCAAGCTTCTGGTAGCAGCAGCCTCAAGGCTTGACAAACGAAAACAGCTGCCTTGCCGGTAAGAGAAGGGGTAGAAAGAACATGAAAGAACGATCATCGAAAAGTTAAAAGTATCCAAAGTATCTGGAAAGGAACAATCTCTTCAAGACTATAGACTATAATACATTCACAAAAAATACCAAAGCAAACGACAAAAAAGTCAGGGATGTGTAGATCATCCAGTGGATTCAGATCTTCAGCTAATGGCTTCGACTTCGCTGAAAACGCTGCTCCGGTGGGCTGTTCCATCGTAGGCCAAGTAGGTCCATCTTCCAGTGCACGAGAGATCTTCGGACACCAGGCACAGTGCTTCGGTGACAGCAAGGGGCCTCAGAGAATCAGCTTTGCCAGGAAGCTTCTGCGAAAAAGCTGTTGATAAGTTGATCAGTTGGAAACCTGATGTGAGGGACTGCAAAAAAATACTACAAAACTTGCCCAATTGACATTGAATGCTTGGTGGGCAAGCATATCAGTACATTGCTGCCGGTCTCCATGATTCGGTTGACCCTGAGCACTGGAAATGCTCTTTTGGTTCCTCATGTACGAACCCAGCCGCCCATCTTCAGAGCGCTTCGTGGGCTGAATGGTGCAAATTTCCGTGCCATTGGCACACACGGCCCATCATCATCGTCCTCCTTCAAACCAATTGCAATCTAATCACCAGCAGTTCAATCAAGTGCATGATAAGCCTTCATGTCTAGCACGTTATCAAATAGACTCAAGCAGCTAAAGCCCTTCGCTTCAAGGCCAGCTCTCTCCTCCGCTGCAGGCCGCTCAGGATCCGGGCAAGCGGGCGTCTTCTCCGCTGCTCCCTCGTCCTGCGGGTTCTGATTGTCAGCAGCAAAAGCTGAGGGATCATCAGAACGCTTCTCGAACTGTCGAATTGTACAAAGTCGGAACCAAAGTAACGGATCAAGAGTATGCATCGCTACTAGTAACAAGTGCATCGCTAGAAGTTACTAGTAGCAAGCCAGTAATAGAAAACTCCGAATCATCCGTCATGTTGCATGGTTGACAAAAAAATGGCTACCCAAAGGCCTCATCTTCGCGCCGCTCATAGCCCAAACGCTCGTAAAAGAGCACAGCCGAGGCCAAGGAGCGCAAGCGAACCTCTCCAGCCTGGAAGCCCTGGCGGCCCGAAACGAGCGCGGCGGTTGACGGTGGTTTGACGTCTGCATGCAAGAAGCCGAACCTGAAAAGGAGGTCTCCATGATGGGGCAGAAAACAATGTGCAAAAGTCGGCCAAAGAAAAGTCATCAACGTGTTCAGTAGCTGGAGCAAGGAATGAAGTCGACCTATACCTGTAAAAAAAGAAACATATTCCAAGAGTTGCTTAATGAGAAAGTGGATGTTCGCTCCTCTGGCGTCATGATTCCAAGCATGGCAGCACGATCTTCTGCAACTTTCCTTGGGAAGCGTGGCCACACACAAATGCCAGAAACGCTACCTGTCCGGGTGATTGGATGACTCCTCGATATCTTCAGATGAAAGATCATGAAGCCTTGTGGCTTTACTACTAGGAACAAGAAGCTACTAGGGGCTCCTGGCATCGCTACTAGGAGCAAGGACGCTACTAGGGGCTCCTGGCCTTACTACTGGGAGCAAGCACGCTCCAACGATGCATCAATTGTGGCCAAGACTCATCAATTGCCGTCCGTAGCCCTTTCCACGGTGCTTGTCTGCAACACCTACTGCGCCTGCACAATCCAGCTTCTCCCGTGTGTGGACCAATCAGTTTATCTTACTCTCCAATGGCGAGGCCCAGCAAGTGAACAAAGAAGAAAGCAAGAGATGAAACAAGGAAGCTAAGGAAAGGTAAGGCCGCTTATAGAAATAGGAAGCCTTTAAAGGGACCCTTACGGCCACCCAAAATCGTTTCTCTTCTATAATCACGATAATCGTCCCCCTATACTGTAAATAAACTTAAAACCCGAAGACGAAGAAAATGTCTGGTCACATCTAGCGAAGCCTCGGGCCTACGCTCACACCTGGCACTGGCGGGCCCCATGTCTTGAAGGCCACGAAGCCAAGTAGGTCCAGTCTAGGAATGTGAAGATTGAAAGCTTTGAAATGCAAAAATGTTATTGCTTTGGTCCATCTTTAACACGTTCCTACCATTAAACATCGTCAAGCTTGCAATGTCAAGCTCTTGCCGGTAGAAATGAGTGAGTTTGATGCTGTAGCAGAGAATGGATCGTATAGTAGAAGATGTCTAATCTGAATGTCATCTAGATCGAAAGATCTAAAGCAAAAAGTAGGATCAAATTCCTCAGTATCGCTGGAGCTGCGTTGGTGCCATTTGGCAGCTTCGTCATGTGACGCTCTGATTGTCAGCAACACACATGGACTTACGAAACTGTTCAATTCACAATCCTAAACCACCCTGGAAGAAGACCAAAGTACAGGAAACATGTCTGCAGCTTTGATATTATTATGTTGAAAGAGTCCAGTCAAGTTGGCATCTGCTTCCGTCTCCCTTTCTCCCACGTCAGATAAGTAGCGCAGGGTCTTCGTCCGGCTGCTGCTCAACCAACAGGCTGAGCTTGAGATTAAATTCCTCAAGAAAAACATGATCGCAATCCGGGAGATCGATAGCGCCCGCTTTTGATGTTCAGAAAGCGTACGGATGCACAAAACGTGTCACCAAAACACAGAAGCCTGGTTGTGCTGTGTTCAAACCCCTCGATTCAAACCCTTCATTGACCTTGACAAGACACCAACTGCGCTCGTCGGAAGTTCTTCAGATCTGCACCAAACCTAGGTGAAATGGGACAGTTAGCGTCCTTGCTCCTAATAGCGATGCCCTTTGCTCCTAGTAGCGTCCTTGCTCCTAGTAGCGATGCCAGGAGCCCCTAGTAGCTTCTTGTTCCTAGTCACCAAGTCCCTACACGGCAAAAGCCGTGTAGTTACGCCTCTCATCACCTCCCACAGGCTACGTCTCTGAAGCTTACCTTCACTCTCCTACACTCTGCTCTACGTCTCTGAAAAGGATGCAGGATGCCTTGGCAGTCATGAAACACCCACTTGCAGGAAAGTCAAACATCTTCTCTCTTCCAGCATCCGTGCCATCCTAGCAGCAGTCAGGACCACTTATAAAATTCCATTCCCCACAGTGATATCTAAGTGACATATTCTTGTAGGACTTTGGCTCATCTAGTGCTGTTCCCGCCCCAAAGACCCAAAATTCACGTGGCCCACACACTACCAAAAAGCTTGGCACCACCACTTCCTCGTTTGCCTCCTTTGCCTCGTTTGCGTTCTTTTTTCTTTCGCTCCAAGGGCGTCCAAGGGACTCTTCCATGAGGAGCTCCGAGAGTTGCTGGTCAATGACCTCACCCAGCCCAGAGATGGCCTCCGTCGTGGCACGCGACAGCCTACACGGTCAAGGAGCGAAGCCCATGGGAAGTCGGTCAAAGACCGAGCCAAGGGCAGCCACCGTGGCTCGGGTAGCTTTGGTTTTACCTCAAATGGAGCCATCGCGCCATCCCACCTCTTCAAACCGGTACAAACACCTCATTCAGTCAGACACATTGGTGGACACATCAGGAATGGCCTCTCTGTTGGGAGTCGCTACTAAAGCCCCGAAAGCATGACTCAAAACCAATGCCGATACATTCTTGTGCAAAGGAGTCCAATCTTTGAACCTTTCAATGCCCGAAAAGGACTGTCATGGTCCGGAGCCTTCTGGTGCAGAGTGTCTCCGGATAAGACAAACAAATCAAGGACACTGCCGGTGTCTCTCGTTGACAAACCCTGGTCACTGGACTCTTTGGACACCGCCAGTTGCAAAACTAGAGGCATAGGCATCTTCGATCTCCGGATCCTCAAGCGCCACATCATTGAGAAGGACCTCCTGTGTGAAGGACGCAAGAGGGTGCCCAACTGCTTCTTACCCCCACCCATGGCTCTCATGTTACTCAAAGGCTTGCAATCACCATAGCTCCCTTTAACAAAGGCAAGGTTGCCTCGGCTGCAGCGCCCTCGACGGCAGTGCCTGCGCGCTTTTTTTCCACTAAAAGGCTTCAC